AGCGACTCAATCGGATGAACTCAACCTCGTAGTCCATAACAGTCATATTACCCTGCTCCAGTTTCTGAAACTCCTGGCGTCATTCCTGCAGATATCTCTCTCCGACGTAGCGACTCCGGAAACGTGTCTTAAAAAGTTCCCATGTGAACTGGTTTCTCGGAATACTACCAGAAATTGATTGCCACCATCTGAAGCTTTCTTTCTTCAACATAGTTAGGGCCCCCTTTAACTTTTGCTCAGGTCTGAGGTCCATCTCATCCATAATCCTCTCTGTGTCCTCCAGCCAATACTCAGCGTCTGTCGGAGGTCCACCAGTAATACCCTCGAAACGAATTACACCAGCAGCGACCAAAGAATTTGAAATCTCCACTGTAATCATGTTACTAGGGGCTCTAGCAGCTCTCTGAAAAATGCGGAAGATAGCTCTGTTAATGGCGTCTTCATTCATCTCAGTATCCTCATCCTCAGTGACGGGAGGATCTCTCACAGGAGTAAACTGTTCATCTTGAGAAAGAGTCGGATCTACTAGCGGAACAGGAGGATCACATGGTGACATCGGATCGTCTATCGTAACCGAAGGTCGAGTGACTCGCCCTCTACCACGTCCACATCCTGTCTTACGACCTCTAGCAGCATTCATCATTGGATCTATAAGGCTCTACAGAAAGAATTTGAAACATATGTCAGATTAGCATCAGGGATCTCAAGAAAACTTTTAAATCATAACATATGGTGACACGTTTTTTTTTCTTCAAAATTTCTTAAAAATCCAAAGTTTAAGACCCATATACAGTCCGAGTGTTTAAAACCGAAGGCTCTGATACCACAAAATGTAACCCCCCAGACCCGGTCTGTAAGTTAAACCCAAACCTAAGTGGTCACATGTCCCATTCAGAGGTTTTTTATATATATCTTACAATACATAATAATAATAATACAAATATATCCAAAAACGATAACAAATACATGTCACCAGATACAGCGAAAAACATATAGAGATATATGCTCGTACAAAATAAGTAGTTGATCTCCCTTATACCAAATCTGCTAATTTATGGTCTCCTGTTATCTGAAAAAGGGTAAAAACTATAGAATGAGCGAAAAGCCCAGTGTGTTCCATACAGTGTATATAAAAACATACTAATAAAAATATTCCAGTAAAGTCGGTTTATGCAATCATGTCGTTTAAAAAAATATATGAACACTACCCCCAGCCCATCACATCAGAATGTGTAGGTTCCCCAGAACCATACACCCAGCCCACATGTCAAATAAGGCCCCGAACACAAAGCCGAGGAACCTGCGGATATACTTCCTTCAACAATACCCCTCCAATGATTGTTCATGAATGTATTTGAATGAAAACAATGATTAATTTTTTAAAACATAAAAGTGTTCATGCTTAAAAATCATATACAGAAATACGGAAATCAGAAGACAAATTAATAGTATACAGAATTTCAGATATCGTATAATCAATATTCGAAAAATTGGTATAAAATACCGTAACCAGAGATCATATCAGAAATATGCAGTAAATCAGATATCAGATACATAATGTTCAGATGTATATTTTAAAACAGAAATAATTAACACTGTCGGGAAACACACCTGTAACAGTCTGAGAAATCAGATAGGGAAGCTTATTACTGGGTTTGTCGATCACATTCTGCTGCAGCGCTAGATCCTACGAATTGGAAAAATCCATATTGGAATCCTAATATAAATAATTTAAATATTATTTAAATAATATACGGAAACCTACGGGTAATTCTCGTAGTACGCGGTTCAGGCTGATCTAATGAACGAATAACACCGGACCTAATTGATTCTTGCTCAAGTGAAACACGAGTACCTTCATAAAATATTTTTATTGAATAAATCCTTGACCAAATCTCAATTAAATAATCAAAATATTAAAATATTAAGCCTTTTGGGTTTACAAGCTCGATTCGGGAATTTCGGGTCAGAATTTGGCAAAACGGACTTCGGAATCAGATTCAGGACGTTGAAAAACATAAAGTATGACTTTCCAAAAATTTGAATTCTTGGTCAAAATCAAAGTCAACGGGTTTGACTGACGATTTGGAGACTTTCGGGTTCGAATTTGGTGAAACGGACCCCAAAAACGGATTCGGGACGTCAAAACCTGTCAGGATAGGTATTTTCGGAAAAGATTAACGATAGTTTAATAGCCGGTCAAAGTTTTAGTCAAATGAGGTCAACAAACTATCAACCATTTTACAGAAATAGCACCCCTTTTCGAATTAATTCCCAGAATAGCACCAAAATCGAATAAATTCCCAGAATAGCACCGGTCAACAGTCAACGGGTCGGGTCGGTCAACGGGTCGGGTCGGGTCGGGTTAACGGGTCGGGTTAACGGGCCGGGTCGTGACCGGTTAAACTGGTCAAAACCGGTTAAACCGGTTTCTAGCTTTCACTCGCCCTGCGGAGGTGCGTGTGGGTGCGTGAGGTGTCCTACGGGGCTCTAAAAATCACGAAAAATTTTTTAAAAATTATTTTGAGCGATTTTGAGATACTTACAAAGATCGGTTCAAATTTTTGAATGGTGAAGAGCTCGATTTCATCAAATCGGAAACTTTGACCGCTTCACCTCCCCACGCGCCGCCGTCGACGGAGACCTAGGGTGACACCGGCGGACTCGGAACGGCACAAGGAACACGATGGTGCAGGAGGTGTCGTAAACGGAGCAACGATCGGCGATGAATTTAGGATTTTCTAGGCGATTGAGCTAAAAAAACGTCGATGCTTTGACTTGAAATTCACGACGTTTGGCAGCGTTTCGCTTCAATTAAATTGAGGGGATTGTTTCTGACTGGATAACGAACACGATGGTGCTTTCAAAACGGCGATCGAAATTCGGACGGCGTCGGGATCATCGTCGGAAGTTGAGGTTGGGAGAGGGAATTTGGGAGGAATTGGTTTCTGGAACCGTAATATACACCAAACTTACCTACTTTTTTTTGGGTAAATTCAGGGCTTGGTCCCTGAATTTTCTTTAACTCTAAAACAAACTACAAATTTTAAAATCTTTCAATTTAGTCCCCAAAAATTTACCAATTTTCACAATTAAAACCTCAATTCCCAATTAAATATTATTTTAAAATTTTCGGGTTGTTACACAAAATCTAAAGTTTTTAACCGAAATTGGAAGATACACAAAATCTGAAGTTTTTAACCGAAATTGGAAGATGATAAAAGTGTAAGGAATATTGGCAAAAATATTATGTTAATCTCTAAATTATAATCTACTTTTATATTTTGTTCACGTGAATGTCATTTGGTGGAACTGCTGATGATCAAAACCATAAGTATTGAAGAACAAGCTCCCACGATGGAACACCAACCTATGAATTGCTCTCATAATCTGGGGTCGTGCAAACAAGTACTGTGCCATTCGGATATACAGATCACCACCTTTAAATGAAATCTTATTTCTTTTAGACAGAATTCATGTTCAAGTAATTATATTATGCACGAATCAACTTACCTCAATGGTTAAAAGAATTGTAATTATTTTTAGAGGTCACAAGTTCGAGCACCAGTGATTGCTTCAAGGTGATTGAGCATTCATTGTTAAATAGTTGAGAGTATTTAGAACGAATACTACTTAAAAAATAAATACTACCATTTAATCAGTTCGTATTTATTAAAAAATAAATTATAAGAAAACTTTTAAAAGATATAAATAATAATGATATGAAGTTAAAATCTAGTTATTAATTTAAATTTTGAAAATTTAGGCTCAGTTTGTCTAATTTAAAGTGGTTGGATTCACTTAGAGATGGGCATGAGACCCGAACCCGACGAGTTTTGACTCGATTTGATCCGATCGAGGCGGGGTTTTTTAAAAAAATTGGGTTCGGGTCGGGTCAGGTTGGGATTTTTAAAGATGATGTTCGGGTTGGGTTGGATTTGGGTTTAAGGCGAAAAATATCTGACCCGGGAAAAAAAATTTACGTTATATATTTATGAATAATTACAATAATACTACTATATATATTATTTTTTCAATTAAATCATTGTTTTATTGAATAAAAATAATATTTTTTATTATTTCGAGTCGGATCAGATCGAGTTCAAATTTTATTTAAAAAAATCAGATCGGATTCGGATTAGGTTGGCCGAAACCGACCCATGCCCATCTCCACTGGTTGTTGATGGATTGCACACCTTAATGGGACAAAAAAAAAACATAAACATAAGCATGGCAATTGTTTGGACACCTCTCCTACTGCTATGTACGTTAACCTTCCAAATTTTACCGTTGTCCGGACACTGACGAATTTTTCAAGATTTTGTTAGGCTTGAACTTCTAAAGAATAAAATACTTTAATTATATATAATATTATTGTGACGAAATTTATAAATTGATCGACTAATTAAAATATTATAAGGATGTTCATGCTCATATTGAAGATAATATCAAGGGGAGTCTAAAATACAATGTTAATATAAAGTTGTAATTGATTAGAACTAAAACATTTATTAAGTACGTAATTTTTTTAGAGTAAATTGGGTAATATTTTAAGTTGATATGTTATATTCTTTGTAATAAAATAATAAAAATTGTTTAACTACTCTTGTTGCAACCTAAAAAATTAACGTCACGAGATTTATATAATATTTTTTATTATAATCGAATTTATCATAGAATCCACTTACCAGAAAAATATCTACAAAAATATCCCAATTTAGTTATTCTTCACTACATTTTATAACACATTTTATTCTTGTAAAAATTTAATAAAATATTAAGCAGCAAATAAAATTTCAAAACGAAGGCAATCACGATCAGAAGATATTTTCTTTCTGAGACCAAAAGTTAGTTCCAAGAAAAAATTCGATACATATTTCGGGCTGTGCATCGAAACATCCTTAGACCTGCAGCAGCAACAGCAAGCATAACACAGATGTTACGATAATCAGATCAAACAATTTCAATTTACTCCTCCACTACGAACAGAATCCATACAACCTTAGTTACCTCTTCAAGAAATAAAAGAAGCAGCCTCTACAATCAGTTCGGGCACACTGGTAACATCAATTATCATTAAACTTCAAAGGGTTCGAAAAACAAGCCGGATAAAATTAAATGGTGAAAAAGACGACGACTTTATGCTTTCAATCCTTGCTCCTACATAATTTGGAAGGTCCTATATTTATTTCTTAACATTTTGTCTTCCTACTCCTCAGAAAGGGTAATACAGGGAGGAAAAAGGTTACAGCTTGACATTTATCCTGCCAAGGCTCAAAAAGTGACAAAAACCAAATAATGTGAAAAATAGGAGGGGTTCATACTTTATTGGGACTTGCAACAAGTGAACTTGGTGAATGCCAATCAGCACTCTTGATTTTTCCAATATAAATATCCTAGAATCTGCAATAAGAGATCAATTAATTCTGGTAAAAAAAAAGGAATGAATTTTCGGAAGTTCTACGGTAAAAAGTCAAGGCTTCATATCATCAGCATTACATTGTAAAAAAATCAACTACAAGAACCTTCTTCCTCGAACCTAAGAAAATATAAGAAAACATTCCAGAACTCCTCGTGCAAGTATTTATACCATAAGACAGCAACAAAGCCTACCTATGACGCATATTCAGTGCCATAGTCAAGATTGAAAAGCATGCTCCTGCGGTTTTCCGAGCCCATTTGAATGCTGAATTTCTTTGCCAGGGATTGGACTTGATCATCACACTCGTAGTCCATCTCTCTCATGCATCGTCTTCTGATCTTTTTTAGTGTTTCTTTGGAGGGTATAAATCCAGCAGTAACCTGCAAAAATGATTGTGAATGGCCTTAAATAATATTTTCCACAAAGATAGAATTGATGTTATCGATCAGAAAGGAAATAGAGTTACCATCTCATCAATTACAGATAGAGAAGCTTTTTGATCACGATTGATGAGATGAGCATCAATAAGCAACGAATATGACTTAGCATCGGGTTTCACACCCATGCTCAACATGTGTTCAAACACCCTGGAGGCTTCAAAAGTCTGCCATGCAAGGATACATTAACTTGAAGCATTAGGTTCAGATTTGAAACTTAAAACCCAAGAAAGCAGCTTTTGCTCGGGGGAGGGGGGAAATTTTATCCTGGATACAAGCATTTTGCATGCTCAAGATAACCCATGCAAGCATCCAAATGTACTTGTTGCAAGAGTATGTGCATATGAGGGTGAGATACATACCTTCTTCACCTTTCCAAATGCATAGATCAAAGCATTATATGAATGAATATTAGGGGTCAACCCGAAAGAAGAACTTATTGCGTCAAATGTTTGGTAGGCACGCTCAATGTCCCATATGTTTCCACAACCCAAAATTATACAATTCAGAGCGGCAATAGACTTGTATGGAGGGTCTGCACGGCTTAAATTCTCAATTTGATAATATACCTGAGGAGAATATTTCAATTTTATGAAATCAGCTACAGCCACTTCAAGGAGCAAACTATATAAAGATTAGGTTTATGAAAAAATTTAAAAGAACGACGATAATTGATGGTCATAAGTTCAACCGTAACAGGCTAACAGCTTTTATCTTTTATAAAAAAAATAATTTTCCTGGAACAAAGTTGTCATTGCAATGATGCATATAACTGCTAAATACTGGTAAACTGACCTAAAGACATAGAATCAAACATAATTGCTGAGGCATGTAGGAGAAAATGCATAGATTGCAAGGACAGAATGATGGAGCAAAAGTCATTTTTCTTTCCACGCACACAATTCAGAACAAAAAGACAAGTGATTTAATTAATTTGATTCAAATGCTCAATTAAGTGTTCAACAGGGAAGCTTAAGGGACTTCTATGATATTCATTTATTATTAATTTTTAAAAATAAAAAGTGCAAATATAAATTCTGATGCTAATTTCTTTTTCTCAGTTAATATCAAAATCACCAAATTATTAAATAATGGTTGACTCAACAGATTTATCGGAATGAAAATAATTGGAAGTATAAAAGCACATACTGAATCCAATGTCTCAAAACCCTTCTTGGAGGAAGCCACAACCAATGGATTTAAAGAAGTAAAAGGTGAAAACATATCTTCTGCTTCATTAACGGAGTTCCCATGAGCAGTCTCAAACTCATGCAACGTACCAAAAGCCTTTTGTAGATTCCCCAATGATGCAAGAGCATATATCTTCCCCAGGAAAGATTCAGGGCTAGGCACCTTTTTTTGACGCAATGAGCGCCGAAGGATTGCCCAAGATGCATCCAACAGGTTTGAACTGTAGGTCCTACCTGCAGTTGCAAGTGCTGAGACAATTAATCCTTCATCTACAGAAAGTAAGAAAGGCGGCCTTGCATTTTCGCCTCGAGCAATCCATTTGGCCATAAATTCCAAAGCATAAAATAACAACTTGCTGTTGTCTGCTTGCATAGCAACTTCTGCAAGGTAGTTGCACAAACCCCAATTTGGATAAAGAGCTCTATTCTGCTCCATTTTCTGATAAGACCCAAGAAAAAAAGTCAAACAATCAAAGACTGCGCAAAGACAATTTCCATACTCAAAACAACATTTAGCCAACTATATGAGTCATATACCTTACACATCTCAATGACAGTAACCAAAGTATCAAGCCGCCCCTCTTTGACACAGCATGCTACGCACTCTGTAAATACTTTCATAGACAACTTATAACCAGATTGTAAAGCCTTATCTATATGAGTCAAGGCTGCTTCAATCTGTTGCATCTCAAACAGCAGTCCAATAACCAAATCATAAGATTCATCATTAGGCAGAGATTCCTTTCCACCTTGCAACATCCTGATTGGTATAAAGTGAAGGGCAAAAATATCATTTTAATATCAAATGAGTTTTGAAGGTAGTTCCAGTAAACTTAAAGCGGTATCTTACATAGGCAATTGAGTTCCTATTTTAAATGAATGGATATCCTTCCAAGCAAGTAAATTGATAGAAGGAATTTAAATCTTCAAAAATAAATATCGCCACCATCATTTGTGTTCCAATTCTAATTCAAGTAATATCAGTAAAGTTTCACCGAAACAACATCCACCATAAACTATAAACCCTCAACCAAAGACAACCACACAACACAAAATCTCCAACTCCATAACAGAGACACATTCAAATATAAAGGATTCAAATTCTCAATACAATAAAAATAGTGGGGAAAAAAAAGAGAATCTTACAACAAAGTCCACGCTCATATCAGCGGAATGCAAAGCAATAAACTTCAACAGAAAATGAGGATTTTTTTATTCTAATTTCATTTACTAACTCAAAATGAAGTATTTCTGAAACTTTTAAGCAAAGGGTAACTTTAGAGAGAGAAAGCAAAAAAAAGAAGAAAAGTACAGTGCTACAACTAACCGTTCAAGCAATTTCTCAGCAGCTACAGTTTCCTTAGCCTGATGCATAGCCTTTAAAACCAAATTAAACGACGCTGTATTGGGAACAAGCGCAAAATCATCCATTTGCTCAACGAAATCGAGTAAATCCCCGGCCGTTGCTCCGATCATGAAATTAGCTCTCAAATAATGATTATAAAGATTCACATCAGGCCTATTGGGCTTCCCATTCTTATCCAGCAATCGAACCCAGGACTCAAAAAGCTCTTTTATATCGGTCCAACGTTGCTGAGTCATCAAATCGGCGAAAAGATTCATCAAAGCAGGCGCGTCCATGGACTGGGAAAGGTACTGAATCCGGTGTCCGCCGAGGGGAACAAGCGATTGAGCTAGGGAGGCTGAATTTTGGGCTGCGTTAGGGTTCCGCCAATTTTCATGGTAGAGAGGGCTGCCGGAGGCTGGGTTGGGAGGGAGAGGGGTGGTCTGAGTTTCGGTGAAGGGAGTCGACTCCGAGAGTTGAGGTTCTTGAGAAAGGGCAGAGAAGGTGGAAATGTATTTGATTTGGTTTAACCGGTGCAGCATTCGGGTTCGGGTCAAGATCGCCATTTGCGAAGCCATTATTGTTTTTTATTTTCCCTAGAAAACTGAATCAAAATACCTTTAGCTTGTAAGGTTTAGGGTTTCTCGGGACGACGAGAAGGGGTTATCCGTTATCTCGCTTGGAGGAGACAATAATCATTTCATAATGTTAGTGGTAATTTGGAGATCATAGTGGACTAAGCTTTTAAGTAGACATTATATTAGTTACAATATGCTTCCAAGTCCCTATAAGTTTGTGCACATTTGGAATTTAGTCTTTTATTTCTATGTCTTATAATTTAGTCCATTTGTTTTTTAGATTTAAAAAATCCAAATACAGTTGTTAATACCTCAAACATTTATCCATTAACATCCAATGCATTGATCATCACCGTTCAAAAGTGCTAGGATCCATTCATTAGACGCGAAAGCTATTGTAAATAAAGATCAAATAAGTATTAGATAATAATGAAAAATAATAACGGGGTGGAATCAAAGCTTTTTCAAAATTTTCTACCAAATTTATTAATATGTCATTTTAAAATTTAAAATAATAATAATAATTTAGTGATCATAAAATATGATGGTATGATGGTTCTGAATCTAATAATTTTTAATGATATTAATTATTAAACTTGAATTTTTAAAGGGTTAAGTACAAATGGTCTCTCGACTATATGGTATTGTTTTGTTAAGTCTCCCAACTATCAAAAGTTACAAAATGATCTCCTGACTATAGGATGTTGCTTTGTTGAGTTCTTCGACTATTAAAAGTTACAAAATGGTCACCAACTATTCATTATGTTCCAAACTCGTCATTTTTTATAAAAAAAATTAATGTCAGTCTGATATGGATGTTAATTTTTAGTATGAGATATGATAGTCGTTTAATATTTTGGGATTAAATTTTATAATATCTCATATAGTAGATTAACGTTCAGCTTAGACTGTCATCAAATTTTTAACGGAAAATGATGAATTTGGAACATAATGAATAGTCAAATGACCATTTTGTAACTTTTAATAGTATCGGGATTCCACAAAGCAACATTCTATAGTTGGGGGACCATTTTGTAACATTTGATAATCAATGGACTCAATAAAGTAACACCTTATAGTCAAGGGACCATTAGTATACTTTACCCTTTTTAAATTAGAAAGTAGAATTAAATTGAGTAAATTACAGTTTAAGTCATTTAATTATGAGTTTAGTAATAAGCAAGACAATTTTCTTCTAAATTTTGCAAACATCTCACTTTCTTCTAAAAGTTACAAACATATAACTAAATTAAAATATTATTAAAAACATGCCATTATCCATTAAATATTATTAAAAATAAGTCATTAGTTGTTAAATTAAAATATTATTAAAAGCAAGTCATTAGTCGTTAAATATTAGATATGAATACTTATGTGATCAAATATAACAATATTTTTATCCTTAAAATTTATATAGTTTACAAATTTTATCATAATTCAAAACAACTTAATAAATTTAATTATTTATATTTAAAATATTCATCATTCCAGTTTTTGTTCTTCTCTTAAATCACTTGTTCTTCCTTTAAGAAAGTTATATTAATTTTCTATTACTTTTCTAATATAATAATAATATTTTTATAATAATTTGTTGATGCCTTATGACAAAATACAGTTAACCAACTATTGTCTTGATTCAATGTTTTGTTTGTTTTGATAATATCGTAAAAGAAGGTTGAATTTATTGAAGTTTTAAATATGAAGGGTTAAATTTATTGAATTATTTTGAACCGAGAAAAAATTAATAACATATATAATTTTTAAGGACTAAAAATGTTATTATATGAGATCACATTAAATGTTTGTTTTCAATTTTAACACCGAAGAGACATGTTTATAACAATATTTTGTTGGAAAAATTTTGATAAATTGAAAATTTTTAGCCATGTTTTCAATAGGTAAAGGTGGAGATTCAAATGATGAATTTATAGATTCATATTCTACTCCATGAGATCTTTACAATGATATCTCATATGCTCAAAACGATTGAGTGAAGAACGAGAAATTGATTCTCAAAGTAGGGTACTTGTGAATTGTGTAAGAAAAGGAAAAAGAAAATGAAAAACTTATATCCCACATCGTTAGCTCTTACGAACAACCGAAATATGTCAAGAGGGGGTGAATTGGCATTTCAAAAATTTATGGCGAAAGCAACCAAAATTAAAACTTTTGTACAAAGAATTTAGAGTGATTCGACTTCTAAACCAATCTACATCCACTACCTTAGCATCTACACTAAGGATTTCTCAAATCAACTAGATTTGCTAACATTTGAGGACAAGATATAACCTTACAACAACACACAAAGTTTATATCTCAAAACCTTGCTTACTCTCTCTCTATAAGAGGGATTACAAATTTAGCAAATCAAAGAAAATCTTACAAAGGAAAATTAGTTTGCAATAAATTAAGCACTTACCCAAATCACGGTTAAGAAAAAATAAACAAAGAAGCTCACAAGTGTGTTAGAAACAATATGACAATTTTAGCTCAAACTCTTTTGATGTTGGTTTGATCTTACAGTTTACTTTTTTTTTGTTATTCTCCTTTTGAATCTTGGTCTATTTTATGTCTTCTAACATCCTTCAAGTTGTTTGGAGCTGCTGGTGGCTGATTAGAGTCGTTAGCTTCAATAATTTTGAGCATTTAATACTCACATGCACATTTAGTATCAATACCAGATAGTGGGTATAGAAACCGAGAGCCCTAATGGTCAAATTTATAGTTGTTTAAATCTCAGTATCAACACTGTTCATGTGAGTATCGATACTAACCTACCAGTATTGATACCAACACCATAGTATCGATACTAGAAAAACTCACTGGGATTTTGGTATCGAGACTGACTTGTGGGTTCGAGACTGGGGGAGGTTTTTGGGCAAAAATCAATATTTTTTAGCTTAAAAAAATGTTTATAAGTTATAATATGATCTAAAAACACTTAAGGTTATTTTTCATAATTAAAAATCACTTAAATTATTTTATTACAAATTTTCTTAGAATTTACAAAATGCAAATTTTAACAAATTAAAATATTTGAAAATCATGTCATGTCAAAATCAAATATTGGTTCAACAATCTCCCCATTTTTTATATAACAAAACCCTTTGTGAAAATTTTCTTTTAAAATAATTTGTGAAAACTAAAATCTCCCCCTTAGTAAAAATATTTTTGGCTAGAAGCAAATTTACACTTACACATATTTCTCTCCCTTTTTTTTTTTTTGTTATAACAAAATCAAATTAAGCTTAATAAAAGAAAATATGTTAGTGTAATAGGGAAATCAATTATTCAACAATAAAGAGAAAATCAAATTATGCTTAACATAAAATAATGAAGTTTATAAGCATAAAATCAAATCAAGAGTAATTCAAGCAAAAGTTCCAAAATAAAAAAAATCCATAAAGTGCATAAGCCTAGTCAAAATGCAAATGTCCTAAAAGCAATATAAGAATGCCTATTCTTCTGGATAGCGGCCATAAGATCATTCAAGTTACCAAGTTTTGAACCATATAGTCATATATGGTCTTCATAGAGATCTCCTCTTGAGGTGGTGGCACCGACGACTCATTCAATTCATTTCCTTCTTCCTCAATGTTGTCTAAGAGTTGTCTTCGATAAGGACCCCATTCATTAGAATCTTCATCAAATTCCCAATTGGTCTTGTGGGTCGATTTGAGTTCGATGACACTAACAAGAGGGATGGGAGGGTCAAAGGAGATGGACACTCTAAGTTTTTCCCTAAAGATCAAACTAAGTATATAACCATATGAAAGAGTTTTGGTGTAATTCCCCCTTTTGAGACAACATCAACAAACTCTAAAAATATGATCATAGCAAAATTAGGACGAATATTATTCTTGACATGATAAAACCACCAATAATCCCAAACACACATATTGGTTGCTTTACCACTAGAAAGGCGAAAAACCACGTATTGAGGAGCAAGAGAAGACAATCGGGGAACTCTATTAAGGCAGGGCTATCATTTTAAAATATTTCTATTTGAACATATGAATTTTTCTTGAAGGGACCATCATTATTAATATTTAAATAGGTAGAAATGGAAGAGGGGCTAAGAGTAAACGTTTTTCCCATAAGGTACGACTCAATCTTAATGACCTTGTTAATGTAATTTTTCTCATGGACTAGGATACCATTTCAAAAAAAAATGCACGACAAGGTTTGGATTCACCTTGGGAGGAGTGCAAACTAAGTCTAAACAACCCAACAAGATAAAAGTTTCAAAGATTGAATTGATATACCATGACCTAAGAAAGTTTGGATCAATAGTAGGCTCAATTTGAAGGACTTTCATCATATAAAATTGATTGAAAATATTAAGGGCATCAGAATCCCTAAAATAAACATTATTAAAGCTTGCGAAGTTGGGGGATTGACCCGTATGAGTAGTGCCACTAGTCCTAAGACGCTTGAGGTTTATTCTAAGAGGCATTGCGAATAAAAATAGTGGCTAGAAAAGTAAAATTTTCATTTGGGAATTTTGTCTAACACCCCAAAATTTTGGTTAGTGACCAAAATGTAAAATTTAAAAGTTTAGTGCCATAATATAATGTTTAGAAAAGTTTTGGGACCAAAAGTGCAATTTTAAAAAGTTTAGGGACCAAATGTACAATTTTAAAAAATTAAGTGTTTTGACCCAGTAAATGAATAATTCACCCCCTAAAAATGACGTTTTGGTGGGAATCAAATTTTTGATCCGGATTTTACGTTAAAAGTTAGGAAATGTTAAAGTCCGATAAAATTCGGTAAATTGAATTGAATAAAAAATTTTAGAAAACTGAATGATATTAAATTAATCTTAGAAATGTTATTTCCACATTTTAAAATGATGGAAAATAATATGGATCATTTTATTTGAGAATTAATTTCCATGTTAAATTTGGACCGTTGGATTAAAGTGGGAAGATTGAAATTTTAAGAAAGTTGCATAGATAAAATGGTAAAGGGTATAATATTTTATCCATATTTGACTTTGGAAAGATTATAAGGGTTATATGGCTTGGTATGAATGTAAATATGAGGATTCATTAATGGTAAAATTGTCATTTCACATTAAACGAATTTTAAATTCATTTAAGCTTAATAAATAATAAATTAACATGAAA